TGGTAAAGTTCTATTAGTTGATGGACAGTTGAGTGACCAGCCTGAAACCCAGATTGGTACTTATACAACAATTTGTTCTCATGAAAGTAATTATATAAATGTTTGAACACAACTCTCTCAAACAATTTTCCTATACAGCTAATGAGTGATATATATCGGTCTATAATTAGAAACGATAGTGTGATCACCTTTCTTAAATAATGGCATAACGTTTGCTTTTTTCCACACTGATGGAAATATACTTGATTGTAGTGACATATTGAACAGTAAACACAATGCTTCGCTTATAGAATATACAGTTTTCTTTAATAATTTATGACTAATTTTATCCGGTCCAGAGGCTTTGTTCAGAGGCAAACATTGTATTATGTCTTCAATTTCCTTTTTAGATATGACTATGTTGTTCATCTCTGTCTTTGTACGAAATGTGAAGTCGGGCATAGTTGTTCTTGTATCACAGACATCTAATATAGATTGAAAATATTTATTCGGTATCTCTGTCTTTTCAATATCAGTAAAAATTGTCGGGTGTTCGTCCGTATCATACTTTTTCAGAGCGGCTATGTTGTTAGCTGAAGCAGATTTCTTCATAACATAAAGTAAAACTTTCCAGTAAGAGGGTTTGTTTTCTGCATGCAATTCTATTAGCAATTCATCTTTCTTTTCAAACCTTTATCTCTCTGTATATTTATGCATTTCTTATTTTATGCATGTGATTTGTTTGTTTGTTTGTTGTTTAACGCTGCATTCAGCATTATTCCAACTTTATGACGGCGGTCTGTTTATAATCGAGTCTGGACCAGGCAATCCTGTGATTGATATTATGAGCCTCGATCCACGCAATAGATAGATAACATGCGTCAACCAAGTCAGCGAGCCTGACCACCCGATCCCGTTAGTCGCCTCTTACGACAAGCACAGTCGCCTTTTACGGAAAACATGGGTTGCTGAAGACCTATTCTACCCCGGATTTTCACGGGTCTTATGCAAATGACAACATACACAACATATACTACATTATTTCTATTTGTCGTTAGGAATTTTACTGCAGCTGTCGGTGATTTTTCTCCTAAATTGAAACAAGTATCGGTGTCATTCTTTCCAATGGTCTTGTGAAATAGCTTGGCAAATGGCATGACAACATCTAGGTCACGATAATATGTTTGTGGTTGCAGCTTCTCAACACGTATTTATGTATTTGCTTTTAAGCTTCTGTGGGAGAAAACAATTGGTCACGATTCGTCAAGGTCGGTTAGATTAGGTCAAGTTCAGCGTTAACGTTTTCGTACAACATAATTATATTATTGCAACTGTCTCAGGCTTGGTCATATCTACATGCATGGAACTTCAAGTTTGCACGTACATGTATCTTAAAAATTCTACCACATCAAAAGTCATTTATGTCAAAGCTACAGTTAGGTCACAAGTTCAGGTCAATCTTGAGGTAGTGTCTTGAATACGTTATTGATACCAGGCGATATATAAAATGAACTTATCCCTCGTGGACCAAGAGAATTACTTTGGCATATGTCTCGAGAAGGTCAAAGGTCACTGTCACGACAAAATCGCTCAAATCGGTTTGTTTTTTCGCTTTCTCAAACATATGTAAAGCTTTTATCATTTCACTTACTATATACCTCGTTGCGACAATGTCCTGCACATGGAACCAGCAGAGGAGTTATTCCTTGGACTTGCTAAGAAAGGTAAACTCTCCAGTGGAATTCCATACATCGTTAGGTTTAACTAAATCAACGTCTTGGTGTGGACAAATAGTTCGTGTTTGCCTGAGGATAAGTAAAAGTAATGTAAAGGTTTGAACATTTCTACGAAGATATCAATATGTACAACATGATATATTACCAGATATGACTGTGACAACGAGTCGGTTCTTCTAGCCGTAGAGAAGGTCTAGCTTGTGTTCACATATCCGCGTTGCATCCATCGGTCGTAGAGACAGACTAGCTTTGTTTTTTTAGATGAACATTTGACTTGCCTTTGCATGTATTTGTGACGGAAGCCACAGGTTGGGCAGGATTCGCACACATTTCGCGACCACCTGGTATCGTACAATCGACTCTGGCCTATGCAGAGATTTCTATTGGATATGGAAAGGGTTTTGTCGCTTTATCTTCATTTATTTGTATTGCATCTACATGTATCTGTCGAAGAGAAAGTCTAGTCTTGTGTTCATATATCCGTGTTGCATCCATCTGTAGTGGGGAAAGTCTAGCCGTGTGTTCATATATCCGTGTTGCATCTTTCTGTCGAAGAGAAAGTCTAGCCTTGTATTCATATATCCGTGTTGCGTACTTCTGTTGTAGTGAAAGGCTAGTCTTGTATTCATATATCCATGTTTCATCCATCTGTGGTAGTGAAAGTCTTGCCGTGTGTTCATATATCCGTGTTGCATCCATCTGTGGTAGTGAAAGTCTTGCCGTGTGTTCATATATCCGTGTTGCATCCATCTGTGGTAGTGCAAGTCTTACCGTGTGTTCATATATCCGTGTTGCATCCATCTGTGGTAGTGAAAATCTAGTCTTGTATTCATATATCCGTGTTGCGTCCTTCTGTTGTAGTGAAAGTCTAGCCTTGTATTCATATATCCGTGTTGCATCAATCTGTTGTAGTGAAAGTCTAGTCTTGTATTCATATATCCGTGTTGCATCAATCTGTTGTAGTGAAAGTCTAGTCTTGTATTCATATATCCGTGTTGCATCCATCTGTGTTAGTGAAAGTCTAGCCGTGTGTTCATATATTCGTGTTGCATCCATCTGTGGTAGTGACAGTCTTGCCGTGTGTTCATATATCCGTGTTGCGTCCTTCTGTTGTAGTGAAAGTCTAGACTTGTGTTAATATATTCGTGTTGCATCCATCTGTGGTAGTGCAAGTCTTGCCGTGTGTTCATGTATCCGTGTTGCGTCCTTCTGTTGTAGTGAAAGTCAAGTCTTGTGTTAATATATTCGTGTTGCATCCATCTGTTGTAGTGCAAGTCTTGCCGTGTGTTCATATATCCGTGTTGCGTCCTTCTGTTGTAGTGAAAGTCTAGTCTTGTGTTAATATATTCGTGTTGCATCCATCTGTGGTACTGAAAGTCTTGCCGTGTGTTCATATATCCGTGTTGCGTCCTTCTGTTGTAGTGAAAGTCAAGTCTTGTGTTAATATATTCGTGTTGCATCCATCTGTGGTAGTGCAAGTCTTGCCGTGTGTTCATATATCCGTGTTGCATCCATCTGTGGTAGTGAAAGGCTAGTCTTGTATTCATATATCCGTGTTGCATCCATCTGCCGTAGTGAAAGTCTTGCCGTGTGTTCATATATCCGTGTTGCATCCATCTGTGGTAGTGAAAGTCTTGCCGTGTGTTCATATATCCGTGTTGCATCCATCTGTGGTAGTGCAAGTCTTGCCGTGTGTTCATATATCCGTGTTGCATCCATCTGTGGTAGTGAAAGTCTTGCCGTGTGTTCATATATTCGTGTTGCATCAATCTGTGGTAGTGAAAGTCTAGTCTTGTATTCATATATCCCTGTTGCATCCATCTGCCGTATTGAAAGTCTTGCCGTGTGTTCATATATCCGTGTTGCATCCATCTGCCGTAGTGAAAGTCTTGCCGTGTGTTCATATATCCGTGTTGCATCAATCTGCCGTAGTGAAAGTCTTGCCGTGTGTTCATATATCCGTGTTGCATCCATCTGTGGTAGTGAAAGTCTTGCCGTGTGTTCATATATCCGTGTTGCATCAATCTGCCGTAGTGAAAGTCTTGCCGTGTGTTCATATATTCGTGTTGCATCAATCTGCCGTAGTGAAAGTCTTGCCGTGTGTTCATATATCCGTGTTGCATCCATCTGTGGTAGTGAAAGTCTTGCCGTGTGTTCATATATCCGTGTTGCATCCATCTGCCGTAGTGAAAGTCTTGCCGTGTGTTCATATATCCGTGTTGCATCAATCTGCCGTAGTGAAAGTCTTGCCGTGTGTTCATATATCCGTGTTGCATCCATCTGTGGTAGTGAAAGTCTTGCCGTGTGTTCATATATCCGTGTTGCATCCATCTGTGGTAGTGAAAGTCTTGCCGTGTGTTCATATATCCGTGTTGCATCCATCTGTGGTAGTGAAAGTCTTGCCGTGTGTTCATATATCCGTGTTGCATCCATCTGTGGTAGTGAAAGTCTAGCCTTGTGTTTATATATCCGTGTTGCGTCCTTCTGTTGTAGTGAAAGTCTAGCCTTGTGTTTATATATCCGTGTTGCATCCTTCTGTTGTAGTGAAAGTCTATCCTTGTGTTTATATATCCGTGTTGCGTCCTTCTGTTGTAGTGAAAGTATAGCCTTGTGTTCATATATCCGTGTTGCGTCCTTCTGTTGTAGTGAAAGTCTAGCCTTGTGTTTATATATCCGTGTTGCGTCCTTCTGTTGTAGTGAAAGTCTAGTCTTGTGTTCATGTATCCGTGTTGCGTCCTTCTGTCGTAGAGAAAGTCTAGTCTTGTGTTCATATATCCATGTTGCGTCCTTCTGTTGTAGTGAAAGTCTAGCTTCTGTAAATTGCAGGTTTATACAGATTCTGTTCAAGTATCTTGTAATCTGTAAAGAGAATCTAGACATAGAGTTTGCGATCATTGGTCCGCCATAATGCAGTGTGCCGGTATTCTCTTTCCTGTCAAACTGAACAAAACAAGAGTCAGCCCTATTTCTGTATGTGTCCCCGTCAATAGGTTTATGGGTGTTCCTGAATAAAGATACAGCGCCGTAGTTGAAAACCCATTTCTTAAAGGTTATCGCTGCCACACGGGATGAAAAAAACAAACAATTATTTCTCAGTGTTTGTTGTGTAATATACACAAATTCATGGTATTAAATCAAAGCTTTGTCAAGTTTGATTTTAACAATGTCGGTGTATATATTGCAGCGTCATTGGAACAGGTAAGAGAAATTCCCTTCTGTAGGAATATAATGGACTAATGTTATTTTTTTCAATGTGTCAATTTACGAGATAATTTTCCATTCCAGGTGAACAATGATGGTTCTGTGACATTCATTAAGGCTGGAACATTTCAAGACACAACCTCTGATCCCGGAAATACTCCAGCAGTGTGTGGTCTGTGCACTGACATTGATGTAACCGTAAGTGGAACCGTCTGGTACGTCCTCAGTACGGCTTCAGCATTACGTCAAACTGTCGCCGAAGACGTCAGGCGATACCAGGAGTTCCCGGCAGACTATACGCCGTCCTGGGTACTGTTGGCGACGTGGGCCGATGTTGCTACATATAAGTCAGAAGACAACAAGGCAAGTTGCCCAGGAGTGTGAGTGTGTTAGGTTTGACGCCGGCATGAACACTATGACAGTTATAGCGGCGTGTGAGTTTGATGTTAGAGGATGGTGCGAAGTCATGCGGTTTGTAGATGCAGGTACCTCGTGAAACCCACGGTATGGTACCGACAAACCTATTAACATAGTCAGGGCGAACCGGGATTGGAACCCCCGGCATAGGTCTAAGGGACGCAATTCTGCACTGTTTCTGGACCATCCCAATGTTTTAATGAACAGTATGTAGACTTTCACTTATCACCATAGCCTCTTCCGGGTCTCGCAATATTGCGCACTGACAGCCCACGATGGCGTCTGAATAAAGAACACTTAAAAGGATGACGACTGTGGTTAAGATTTGTGCGCAGCCTGTGGAGGAGGTTCAACAAGTAACTCAAAATATAGACGACCGGTGTAACTGGTTAACATCGAATACAAAAACGGGCCGGTGATAATATAAGGGTAACGCTATTTTTCAGAGCATTATCATTTGCAGAAGCCCGAGGTCTTCCATTAACTGGCCGACGAAGGAGGGCAGTTGAAAAGACCTCGGGCTTCTGCAAATGATAATGCCCTGAAAAAGAGCGTTACCGTTATTATAGCAAAATGGATGGAAATTGTTATAAAATAACAAGAAACAACAATATCGGCTTTGAATTATTTACTGCAATAATTATGAATGTCACTCACCCAATTTTACAAAAATGGGAACGCCATAAAACAAACCAGATGACGTCATTATTGAACGTGACATCACCTATCCCTACCCTATGACGTCACCTAACAACGGGCGTGATAATGGCCCGTCGTAAAGCAATGTGAGGGCATGATCAAGTTACAGTGGCCCGCTGATTTCTGGTAACATGCGAGCGGTTTAATGATAAGTCTATCCATTTTAGCTATAATAGTTGATAAGTCAATTGTTTTTACGCATTTCTTTTTATGTTCCTTTAGGTCGACACATTCCAGATCACCATGGCAACTGATGGCACGGCGTCAGTCGTGATACTGTTCTATGAAAGGATAGAATGGGTGTATGATAATTCTGACTTTATGGCTCTATATGAAGGCACAGAACCCTCCGTTCGTACACAGGTAAGTTGGTTCTGTTTGAAAGAGTATGAGATATATAGTTGATACAATAGTAATGCATAAAACGCATGTGGAGGTTCAGTTATGAATATGGTCGATTATCTTGTGAGTGAGTGAGTTCGGTTAGACACCGCTGTGAACAGAATTTGAGCTATATCACGGCCTGTCAGGTTAAAATGGGAGGAAAACGCGAATCTAGTTATGGAACAGTTTACACATTTGCTGAAGCCCCCAAGCATGGGTATAGTGATGACAATGTTCACTATATGGGTGAATCTGGGGTTCGAATCCAAGACTAGAGGATCCTCGCTCGACGAACTGACGCTCCTCTGCACAGCAACTTGGAGTGTCCAGAGACGATTGGTTGACTCTTGTCACCAGACGCTGTTCTGGGGAACAAACAGCACAGTCAAAACGTCAGGCGGATGACCCGGGCGCAACATGTGAGACCATTGGCACTGTCTCCCTGCTGGGGGCTGGGGCTTGGGGCTTGGGGCTTGGGGCTTGGGGCTTGGTGGGGGTGGGGTGGGGTGGGGTGGGGTGTAGGTTTGGTTTCTGTTCCTGAATTATGCATTCAGCAGCAGTGAAGCTATATCATGGCGGGATGTAAAGAACTACCCAGAACAATGAAGAACGTGCGCCCCCAACCTGATGACGTCGTAAATTGGACGACGTTACTTTTGTGAGGGAAGTGTATGGTGAGTTGTTCACCATAGATGCAGCTGGGCAACGTAGATAAACGCAATGGTCGAACGATCGCTTCCAAAAGTGGGAGAGATACGACAATCCGTGTTTGGAGAAATGTGCAGCATTTAATGTTACAGTATTATTTGTGCAGCAAATCGACGTGAAAATTACACAAGACTTAACCCCACTGTACATAAAATGGAGTTATCCGACATTGCCGAGGTCGGATTGTATTCAGGGTGTCATAATAATTCAAATACAACTAAATGCTTTGTGTATCTGAGCTGGCTGTATATTTATCTGACTTGTGACGTTTACATTGTCTATCTGAGCTGACTGTATGTTTATCTGACTTGTGACGTTCACGTTGTGTATCTGAGCTGGCTGTATGTGTATCTGACTTGTGACGTTCACATTGTGTATCTAAGCTGGCTGTATATTTATCTGACTTGTGACGTTTACGTTGTCTATCTGAGCTGGCTGTATATTTATCTGACTTGTGACGTTCACATTGTGTATCTGAGCTGGCTGTATGTGTATCTGACTTGTGACGTTCACATTGTGTATCTAAGCTGGCGGTATATCTATCTGACTTGTGACGTTCACATAGTGTATCTAAGCTGGCTGCTTATTTATCTGACTCTGTGACTTCACAATGTGTATCTCAGATGGCTGTACACGTCGCTGACTGTGCGACGTTCACAATGTGTATCTGAGCTGGCTGTATACATATCTGACTACATATCCGCTAATTGTGCGTTCCAGAGCGGCTTCTTAGCTGGTGATGGGATGAAGTCGTACCTGCTGCCGGGATCCAAGTCTGAGGAACTCATCAACATTACTAAACTGTCTAACGTTGGCGTTGCTGGCAAATTCATCTTCCGAGTTGACTCCGAAATCCTTCCCGTGCACCTCCCTGACACCACAAGTCAGTATCTTTTATACTAATCTAAAGCTTATTTATTGTTTTTTTACGTGTGAATAATGCCACACAATAGAAATGTGTCTGAAGATTGATATTGAATTGACATTGGATAACTTATCATAAATTGACATTGAATGTATGATAATATATTTCCAGTTCATCGGTAAAAAAAATACCCAGATAATACAACAGATTACTAACAGATTACCAATGAAACAAAGAACTTCCATACACTCATCCTGGAGATGTGGATGAGAGTTAAATTTTAGCGCAAGCCTAAAAGTGCAAAGGAAAATACATCTGCATTGTTGTATCTATTCATATTTGATATAGAAACTAAATATATTAGTTACGCAACATGTTTTTTTTACGATGCACAAAACCCAACTGTCTCCTTCAAAAAGAAAAATAATTTGAAAAATAACTTTCTACTTCTAACTGACAAATATAATAAAAACAATTTGAAGGTGTTTGAGAGTAAATATGACCCAACAATACATATTTAAGTTTAAGTTTCACAACATGACTGGTTCATTACTTTCATAACTAAAGAGTCCATGAATATAATTTAATAAAATAAATTTCACGTTTACAAGTTCATAGCATAGATTTTACAAATTTTAACCTCTAAACCTTGCCTTATTTAATGCCTGGTCCAACTGTAAAAAGCAAGGCTTCAATGATACTGCTCATGCATATGCTGTCAGATACTCGTGTACCATGGTAATTTGGCCTACCTATTAGAAGTTGCATCTTCATAAATAATCACAGAAACACGTAACACATCCTCCGTAAGGCGTAATAATAAAACAACACTGTCCGAAGCGAATAAAATACATGTCTAAAGGATAGTACTGCAATGATTGTCAGTTGTCAGGAACCGATAAACTTTGCAGGAATGACAAATCACCGATATTATCATTTCGAAATTAGCCGACAATGATGGCTGTCAACAGCGGTGACAACCATGCGTGGTCTCGTCCCGTCTAGCAAAGTAAGCTTTGGCGGTCGCGCATTTCGAAAGCAAAACTAGTTTATGAGTAAAGGTTTGTCACCGGAAATACTGGTACCGGAAGTAGCCTTTCGCGAGTCTTACCGTCCCTATACTGCTCGAGCGGGTAATTTCCGGCACAGACAGTCAATAGTCTGCGCTGGGCAGATCTTTGTAACATCAAACACATTCGTGATGAACTGAGACGTGTGAAAAGAGAGCCTCAACCATTACTTGACCTCACACAAATGGAACAGGTCCTCATGCATGACTGGAGTGAGTGAGTGAGTTGGGTTTTACGCCGCTTTTAACATTATTCCAGTTATATCACGGCGTGTCAGCTTAGTGTGGGAGGAAAGCCCGAAGTGATGCAGGTCTCAGACGTTTACCACTTCGGTGAAACCAACGAACACGGGTATGGTGCTGACAAACCTAGAAACATAATCGGGGCGAACCGGGATTCGAACCCACAATCATAGGTTTCTGGCGTGCCCAAGGGACGCAACTCTGCACAGCGAATCGCGGCGCCTTAGACGACTGGGCCCCCCGTGCCCCCCATGCATGACTGGAACATCCCACCTGTTAGTGTTGCCTAGTCAGTGACGTAGGATACATCACATACAGAATGTTGGGGACACGGGTGGCCCAGTCGTCTAAGGCGCCGCGATTCGCTGTGCAGAGTTGCGTCCCTTGGGCACGCCAGAAACCTGATTGTGGGTTCGAATCCCGGTTCGCCCCAATTATGTTTCTCGGTTTGTCAGCACCATACCCGTGCTCATGGGTTTCATCGAAGTGGTAAACGTCTGAGACCTGCATCACTTCGGGCTTTCCTCCCACATTAAGCTGACACGCCGTGATATATCTAGAATACTGTTAAAAGCGGTGATCGTGAACCTGGATGAAAGCATAGTGTCCTTGACCTATGTGTTCCATATTCTACTTCCGGCCCACTGGTACAAAGCACGTGCTTCAGTTGTATGGAACAATACATAATAACACTTTAATGTGGTGCATACCTGCTTTTTTGGTTGCGTATATATATTAAACATATTTTTTTTATTTTTGTCATGACATGACTGAAAAGGGAATATCTTTCCTTCCCACAGAGTCTCCATACTGACACAGCCATCGCTCTAATTCGCCGACCCATACTTGCCGTAAAAGGTGACTATGCGTGTCGTAAGAGGCGACAAACGATGCGTGGAACGATGCCCATGATGTCAATCACTGGATTGTCTGGTCCAGACTCGATTATATACAGACCGCCGTCATATAGCTTGAATATTGCTGAGAGCGGCGTTAAACAACAAACATCACCCATCGCCAAGCCCAACCCTGCAACATCCTCTGCCAAGCATCTTGTTACGACTTATTGATTTCAATACCAATATCGCTAATTTCAGGTTCTGCACAGAGAACTACTGACACAACAACCCCAACAACAATCGCTGACAACATTACTCCAAGGCAGTCAACTTCATCAACATCACTGACGTCTACATCAACGTCCCCGATCTCCGATACAACGCCTCATTCAGGTGCTACACCAGTATACACATTGCTGACAACATTTCCCTCCCTTTCTGAAGTGATAAAAACATGCGTGTATTTATCATGTGTGATTATCTCGCAAAGTTTGTAAAATTCGAGTAGCTTTCATTTGTTATGATAATTATTATGATAATTATTATTATTTTGAGTAGGTAAATGATGGGTGATTCTTATACTTATAATAGTGAGTAATCTCATGTAAATAAAGGCGTGAGTGTCTTTGTACATACATTGAAAGCTTGCCTTGTCGAACTTCATGATCCCGACAAAACCCTTTTTAATTTATCACTATTTGACCCGGTTGAAGTCGATGTCGGATGAGTCGATATATTTACCGGTTCCCTGCAACACATTTATATAATCTTTGAACACATTTAAATATTATCAAGGTCTAACATCTAGTTTAAGACGATATATATTTCATTGTCCACATTACACGTTTGCGACGTTTGATGACTTGTGTGATATATGCTGTGCCTTTGATAATTCAACTTTTCAAAATTAATTTTACCAATATGTCTTATTCCAAGTATTTATGATTAATTTGTTTTCTCAATCGCCGACCGAGTTATCACTTTTCTTTTCTATGCCATTTTCACTGTCAGACACATCTACGACGATACGCGCGTCAGAAGTAGCTGAAACGACGACCATAACTGCTTCACCGTCTGATTCATCGGCTACGACAGTGGCCTCTCCGTCAGATGCAACGTCATCGTTAACAGTGACCTCTCCCGCAGATACAAAATCGTCTGCATCTTCTTCACTGCAAGATCAAACATCTGTAACAGAGACCTCTCCATCAAATACTATAACATCCCTAACAGAGACTTCCCCGTCAAATACAATAATATCTCTAACAGAGACCTCCCCGTCAAATACAATAACATCTGTAACAGAGACTTCCCCGTCAAATACAATAACATCCGTAATAGAGACCTCCCCGTCAAATACAATAACATCCGTAAAAGAGACTTCCCCGTCAAATACAATAACATCTGTAACAGAGACTTCCCCGTCAAATACAATAACATCCGTAACAGAGACCTCCCCGTCAAATACAATAACATCTGTAACAGAGACTTCCCCGTCAAATACAATAACATCTGTAACAGAGACCTCCCCGTCAAATACAATAACATCCGTAACAGAGACCTCCCCGTCAAATACAATAACATCCGTAACAGAGACCTCCCCGTCAAATACAATAACATCCGTAACAGAGACTTCCCCGTCAAATACAATAACATCTGTAACAGAGACTTCCCCGTCAAATACAATAACATCCGTAACAGAGACCTCCCCGTCAAATACAATAACATCCGTAAAAGAGACCTCCCCGTCAAATACAATAACATCTGTAACAGAGACTTCCCCGTCAAATACAATAACATCCGTAAAAGAGACCTCCCCGTCAAATACAATAACATCTGTAACAGAGACTTCCCCGTCAAATACAATAACATCCGTAACAGAGACCTCCCCGTCAAATACAATAACATCCGTAAAAGAGACATCCCCGTCAAATACATTAACATCTGTAACAGAGACATCACCGTCAAATACAATAACATCCGTAATAGAGACCTCCCCGTCAAATACAATGACATCTGTAACAGAGACCTCCCCGTCAAATACAATAACATCTGTAACAGAGACCTCCCCGTCAAATACAATAACATCTGTAACAGAGACTTCTCCGTCAAATACAATAACATCCGTAAAAGAGACCTCCCCGTCAAATACAATAACATCCGTAAAAGAGACCTCCCCGTCAAATACAATAACATCTGTAACAGAGACTTCCCCGTCAAATACAATAACATCTGTAACAGAGACTTCCCTGTCAAATACAATAACATCCGTAAAAGAGACCTCCCCGTCAAATACAATAACATCTGTAACAGAGACTTCCCCGTCAAATAAAATAACATCCGTAACAGAGACCTCCCCGTCAAATACATTAACATCTGTAACAGATACTTCCCCGTCAAATACAATAACATCTGTAACAGAGACTTCTCCGTCAAATAAAATAACATCCGTAACAGAGACCTCCCCGTCAAATACAATAACATCCGTAAAAGAGACATCCCCGTCAAATACATTAACATCTGTAACAGAGACATCCCCGTCAAATACAATAACATCTGTAACAGAGACTTCCCCGTCAAATACAATAACATCCGTAACAGAGACCTCCCCGTCAAATACAATAACATCTGTAACAGAGACTTCCCTGTCAAATACAATAACATCCGTAAAAGAGACCTCCCCGTCAAATACAATAACATCTGTAACAGAGACTTCCCCGTCAAATACAATAACATCTGTAACAGAGACTTCCCTGTCAAATACAATAACATCCGTAAAAGAGACCTCCCCGTCAAATACAATAACATCTGTAACAGAAACTTCCCCGTCAAATAAAATAACATCCGTAACAGAGACCTCCCCGTCAAATACATTAACATCTGTAACAGAGACTTCCCCGTCAAATACAATAACATCTGTAACAGAGACTTCTCCGTCAAATAAAATAACATCCGTAACAGAGACCTCCCCGTCAAATACAATAACATCCGTAAAAGAGACATCCCCGTCAAATACATTAACATCTGTAACAGAGACATCACCGTCAAATACAATAACATCCGTAATAGAGACCTCCCCGTCAAATACAATAACATCTGTAACAGAGACCTCCCCGTCAAATACAATAACATCTGTAACAGAGACCTCCCCGTCAAATACAATAACATCTGTAACAGAGACTTCTCCGTCAAATACAATAACATCCGTAAAAGAGACCTCCCCGTCAAATACAATAACATCCGTAACAGGGACCTCCCCGTCAAATACAATAACATCTGTAACAGAGACTTCCCCGTCAAATACAATAACATATGTAACAGAGACCTCCCCGTTAGATATGATATCATCTACACCTGCTTCGCTGTCAGATCTACTAACTGTAACCTACATGTCAAATACCGCCACTGCTTCATCATCGGAAATAACACCAACTACACCTGCTTTACGATCGGATCCAACATCTATTCTACCTGCTTCTTTATCGAATCCAACATCTACTTCACCTGGTTCATCATCGGATCCAACATCTGCAACACCTGGTTCATCATCGGATCCAACATCTACTACACCTGGTTCATCATCGGATCCAACACCAACAACACCTGGTTCATCATCGGTTTCAACAATAAATACCCTTATTTCATCACCGGATCTTACATCTACTACATCTGCTTCGTCATCAGATCCACCATCAACCACATCTGCTTTATTATCGGATCCAACTTCAACTACAACTGCTTCAGCGGAGCCAACATCTACAACAACTGCTTCATCGGACCTAACATCAGCTCCATATGGTTCATCCTCGGATTCAACACCAATGACACCTTTTTCATCATCCGATCTAACATCAACTGAACCTGCTTCATCATCCGATCTAACATCAACTGAACCTGCTTCATCATCGGATCTAACATCAACTACACCTGATTCACCCTCGGATCCAACATCTACTACACCTCCTTCATCATCAGATCCAACATCAATTACACCTGATTTGTTATCGGAGCCAACAACTACAACAGCTGCTTCATCGGACCTAACATCAGCTCCATATGGTTCATCTTCGGATTCAACACCAATGACACCTTTTTCATCATCCGATCTAACATCAATTGAACCTGCTTCATCATCGGATCTAACAACAACTACACCTGATTCACCCTCGGATCCAACATCTACTACACCTTCTTCATCATCAGATCCAACATCAATTACACCTGATTTGTTATCGGAGCCAAAATCTACAACAACTGCTTCATCGGACCTAACATCAGCTGCACATGCTTCATCCTCGGATCCAACACTAATTACACATTCTTCATCATCGGATCTAACATCAACTGAACCTGCTTCGTCATCGGATCTAACATCAGCTACACCTGATTTGTTATCGGAGCCAACATCTACAACAACTGCTTCATCGGACCTAACACCAGCTACACATGCTTCATCCTCGGATCCAACACTAATTACACATTCTTCATCATCTGATCTAACATCAACTGCACCTGCTTCATCATCGGATCCAACATCAGCTACACCTGATTCTTCATCAAATCCATCATCAGCTACAACTGCTTCATGGGACCCAACATCAACTATACCTGCTCTATCATCGGATCCAACACTATCTACACCTGCTTCATCATCGGATTCAACATCAACCACACCTGCTACATCATCCGATCCAACCTCTACTACACCTGATTTGTCATCAGATCTAACATCATCCACACCTGCTTTATTATCGGATCCAACTTCAACTACAACAGCTTCATCGGAGCCATCATCAACAACAACTGCTTCATCGGACCTAACATCAGCTGCACATGCTTCATCCTCGGATCCAACACTAATTACACATTCTTCAACATCGGATCTAACATCAACTGCACCTGCTTCATCATCGGTTTCAACAATAAATACCCTTATTTCATCACCGGATCTTACATCTACTACATCTGCTTCGTCATCAGATCCACCATCAACCACTTCTGCTTTATTATCGGATCCAACATCAACCACACCTGATTTATCATCGGATACAACAACTACTACACCTGCGTCGTCATCAGATCCAACATCCACCACATCTGCTTTATTATCGGATGAAACTTCAACTACACCTGATTCACCCTCGGATCCAACATCTACTACACCTCCTTCATCATCAGATCCAACATCAATTACACCTGATTTGTTATCGGAGCCAACAACTACAACAACTGCTTCATCGGACCTAACATCAGCTCCATATGGTTCATCTTCGGATTCAACACCAATGACACCTTTTTCATCATCGGATCTAACATCAACTGAACCTGCTTCATCATCGGATCTAACAACAACTACACCTGATTCACCCTCGGATCCAACATCTACTACACCTTCTTCATCATCAGATCTAACATCAATTACACCTGATTTGTTATCGGAGCCAAAATCTACAACAACTGCTTCATCGGACCTAACATCAGCTGCACATGCTTCATCCTCGGATCCAACACTAATTACACATTCTTCATCATCGGATCTAACATCAACTGAACCTGCTTCGTCATCGGATCTAACATCAGCTACACCTGATTTGTTATCGGAGCCAACATCTACAACAACTGCTTCATCGGACCTAACACCAGCTACACATGCTTCATCCTCGGATCCAACACTAATTACACATTCTTCATCATCTGATCTAACATCAACTGCACCTGCTTCATCATCGGATCCAACATCAGCTACACCTGATTCTTCATCGAATCCATCATCAACTACAACTGCTTCATGGGACCCAACATCAACTATACCTGCTCTATCATCGGATCCAACACTATCTACACCTGCTTCATCATCGGATCCAACATCAACCACACCTGCTACATCATCCGATCCAACCTCTACTACACCTGATTTGTCATCAGATCTAACATCATCCACACCTGCTTTATTATCGGATCCAACTTCAACTACAACAGCTTCATCGGAGCCATCATCAACAACAACTGCTTCATCGGACCTAACATCAGCTGCACATGCTTCATCCTCAGATCCAACACTAATGACACATTCTTCAACATCGGATCTAACATCAACTGTACCTGCTTCATCATCGGTTTCAACAATAAATACCCTTATTTCATCACCGGATCTTACATCTACTACATCTGCTTCGTCATCAGATCCACCATCAACCACTTCTGCTTTATTATCGGATCCAACATCAACCACACCTGATTTATCATCGGATACAACAACTACTACACCTGCGTCGTCATCAGATCCAACATCCACCACATCTGCTTTATTATCGGATGAAACATCAACTACACCTGATTCACCCTCGGATCCAACATCTACTACACCTCCTTCATCATCAGATCCAACATCAACCACACCTGATTTGTTATCGGAGCCAACAACTACAACAACTGCTTCATCGGACCTAACATCAGCTCCATATGGTTCATCTTCGGATTCAACACCAATGACACCTTTTTCATCATCCGATCTAACATCAACTGAACCTGCTTCATCATCGGATCTAACAACAACTACACCTGATTCACCCTCGGATCCAACATCTACTACACCTTCTTCATCATCAGATCCAACATCAATTACACCTGATTTGTTATCGGAGCCAAAATCTACAACAACTGCTTCATCGGACCTAACATCAGCTGCACATGCTTCATCCTCGGATCCAACACTAATTACACATTCTTCATCATCGGATCTAACATCAACTGAACCTGCTTCATCATCGGATCTAACATCAGCTACACCTGATTTGTTATCGGAGCCAACATCTACAACAACTGCTTCATCGGACCTAACACCAGCTACACATGCTTCATCCTCGGATCCAACACTAATTACACATTCTTCATCATCTGATCTAACATCAACTGCACCTGCTTCATCATCGGATCCAACATCAGCTACACCTGATTCTTCATCGAATCCATCATCAACTACAACTGCTTCATGGGACCCAACATCAACTATACCTGCTCTATCATCGGATCCAACACTATCTACACCTGCTTCATCATCGGATCCAACATCAACCACACCTGCTACATCATCGGATCCAACCTCTACTACACCTGATTTGTCATCAGATCTAACATCATCCACACCTGCTTTATTATCGGATCCAACTTCAACTACAACAGCTTCATCGGAGCCAACATCAACAACAACTGCTTCATCGGACCTAACATCAGCTGCACATGCTTCATCCTCGGATCCAACACTAATTACACATTCTTCATCATCTGATCTAACATCAACTGCACCTGCTTCATCATCGGATCTAACATCAGCTACACCTGATTCATCATCGGATCCATCATCAACTGCACCTGCTTTGTCATCAGATCCGACACTAACCTCACCTGCTACATCATCGGATGTAACATCAACTGCACCTGCATCATCATCGGATCCAACATCAGCCACACCTTCTACATCATCCGATCCAACATCAACTGCATCTGCTTTATCATCAGAACAAACATCTACTAAACCTGCTACTTCATCAAATCCAACATCAACCACGTCTGCTTTATTATCGGATCCAACATCAACAACACCTAATTCATCATCGGATCGAACACTATCTATACCTGTTTCGTCATCAGATCTAACATCAACTACAACTACTTCATCATCGGATCTAACATCAACTGAACCTTCTACATCATCGGATCAAACACCATCTACATCTGCTTCAACATCAAATCCAACATCTACAACATTAGCTACACATCCTTTATCATCGGATTCAACACTAACTGAAACTTCTTCATCAACGGGTCCAACATCAACTGCACCTGCTTCGTCATCAGATCCAACATCAACCACGACTGCTTTTTTATCGGATCCAACATCAACTACACCAGATTCATCATCGGATTCATCATCAACTACAACTGCTTCATCATCGGACCCAACATCAACTACACTTGCTTCATCATCGGATGTAACATCAACCGCACCTGCTTCATCATCGGATCAAACATCAACTGCACCTGCTGCATCATCCGATTTTACATCTACTACACCTGCTTCGTCATCAGATCAAACATCATCCACACCTGCTTCATCGGATCAAACATCAACTGCACCTGCTGCATCATCGGATTTTAGATCTACTACACCTGCTTCATCATCGGATCCAACATCAACCACACCTACATCATCGGATCCAACATCAACTACATCTGCTTCATCATCGGAACAAACATCTACTACAGTTTCCTCATCATCGGATCCAACATCTACTGCACAAGTTTCATCATCAGATCCAACATCAACCACACTTGCTTCATTATCGGATCCAACATCAAGCACACCTTCTACATCCTCGGATCCAACATCAACCACACCTGCTTTATTATCGAATCCAACATCAACTACACCTTCTTCATCATCAGATCCATCATCAACTACAACTGCTACATATCCGGATCCAACATCTACTACACCTGCTTCGTCATTAGATCCAACATCAAGCACACTTGCTTTATTATCGGATCCAACATCAACTGCACCTGCTTCATCACCTGATCCAACATCAACCACATCTGCTTCATCATCAGAACAAACATCTACTAAACCTGCTTCGTCATCAAATCCAACATCAACCACGCCTGCTTTATTATCGGATTCAACATCAACAACACCTTATTCATCATCGGATCGAACACTATCTATAACTGCTTCATCATCAGATCCAACATCAACTACAACTGCTCCATCATCGGATCTAACATCAACTGAACCTGATTTATCATCGGATCAAACATCAACCACACCTTCTACATCATCGGATCCAACACCATCTACATCTGCTTCAACAATAAATCCAACATCTACAACATTAGCTACACATCCTTTATCATCGGATTCAACACTAACTGAAACTTCTTCATCAACGGGTCCAACATCAACTGCACCTGCTTCGTCATCAGATCCAACATCAACCACGACTCCTTTTTTATCGGATCCAACATCAACTACACCAGATTCATCATCGGATCCATCATCAACTACAACTGCTTCATCATCGGAGGTAACATCAACCGCACCTGCTTCTTCGTCGGATCAAACATCAACTGCACCTGCTGCATCATCGGATCTAACATCTACTACACCTGCTTCGTCATCAGATCCAACATCATCCACACCTGCGTTATTATCGAATCCAACATCAACCACACCTGCTTCATCATCGAATCTAACATCAATTGCACCTGCTTCATCCTCGGATCCAACATCAACCACGCCTACAACATCGGATCCAACATCAACTACATCTGCTTCATCATCGGAACAAACATCTACTACAGTTTCTTCATCATCGGATCCAACATCCACTGCACAAGTTTCATCATCAGATCCAACATCAACCACACTTGCTTCATTATCGGATCCAACATCAAGCACACCTGCTTCATCATCGGATCCAACATCAACCACACCTGCTTTATTATCGAATCCAACATCAACTACACCTTCTTCATCATCAGATCCATTATCAACTACAACTGCTACATATCCGGATCCAACATCTACTACACCTGCTTCGTCATCAGATCCAACATCAAGCACACTTGCTTTATTATCGGATCCAACATCAACTACATCTGCTTCATCATCGGAACAAACATCTACTAAACCTGCTACATCATCAGATCCAACATCAACATCATCTGCTTCATCATCAAATCCAATATCAACAACACCTGAATCATCACCGGGCCCAACATCAACAGCACCTGCTTCATCCTCGGATCAAACAGTTACTACACCTGCTTCATCATCGGATCTAAAATCAACCGCACCTGCTTCATCGTCGGATCGAACATCTACTACACCTGCTTCATCATCGGATCAAACATCTACTACACCTGATTCGTCATCAGATCCAACATCAACTACAACTGCTTCATCAACTGACCCAACATCAACTACAACTGCTTCATCATCGGATCCAACGTCAACTACACCTGATTCACCATCGGATCTAACATCAACTGCACCTGTTTCATCATCGTATCAAACATTAACCACACCTTCTACATCATCAGATCCAACATCAACTGCACCTGCTTTATTATCCGATCCAACATCTAGCAAACCTATTTCATCATCGGATCCAATATCTACTACACCTGCTTCGTCATCAGATCCAACATCAAACACACCTGCTTTATTATCGGAAATAATATCAACTACACCGGTTTCATCATCGGATCCAACATCAACTACAACTGCTTCATCATCGGATCCAACACAAACTACACCTGATTCATCAACAGACCCAACATCAACTTCACCTGCTTCATCTTCGGATCAAACATCTACTACACCTGTTTCATCATCGGATCCAACATCAACTACAACTGCTTCATTATCGGATCCAACACAAACTACACCTGATTCATCATCGAATCTAACATCAACAACACCTGCTTCATCCTCGGATCCAACATCTACTACACCTGCTTCATCATCGGATCAAACATCTACTACAGCTGATTCGTCATCAGATCCAACATCGACTACAACTGCTTCATCAACGGACCCAACATCAACTACATCTGCTTCATCATTAAATCCAATATCAACTACACCTGTTTCATCATCGGATCCAACGTCAACTACACCTGATTCATCAACGGACCCAACATCAACTACAACTGCTTCATCATCGGATCCAACGTCAACTACACCTGATTCATCAACGGACCGAACATCAACTACACCTGATTCACAATCGGATCTAACATCAACTGCACCTGTTTCATCATCGGATCTCACATCAACCAAACCTACTACATCACCAGATCCAACATCAACTGCACCTGCCCCGTCATCAGAACCAACAACAATCGTGCCTGTTTTATTATCGGATCCAACATCAATCGCATCTGCTTTATTATCAGATCCAATATCAACTGCACCTGCATCATCGGGTCCAACATCAACTACAACTGCTTTACCATCGGATGAAACATCTACTACACCTGTCTCAATATCGTATTCATCATCAACCACACCTGCTCGGGACGAGAGATCGGAGAGTTCAACATCCCTTCACACCTCTGCACTGTCAGTTGTTACCCCCCATCTGGTAGGCGGCGCCTTGGCAGTGGTTATTCTGATGGCGGTGGGGGTGCTACAGATCGCCCTGTCGTTGCAGTTCATACAAAAGTTCAGGGAAGGGTTTCAACAGAGAGGACAGCGGAGAGACAGGGCTGTCGGTGAGAGACAAATGAACTTGCCAGTAAAGATTGTCACATCAGGTCCTGGGTACTACCAACACTCTCTGTACACAAATGGCAAACCAAGGTGACAACATGAATAGTAGTCCATTCGCCCATATGCATTCTATCAGACCATCGGGCAACAGGAATATCAGCCTTTTCCGCGCATATGCACATCCAGCAGGACAACATGACCATTAGCCACTACGCACGCGCACGCATCTAACATGCCTGGGTGACAAGATTAACCTCAGCCTCTATGTCAATAGACATGTCCAGCAGGCTAACGTGATAACATGAATATTAGCCTCTATGCACGCGTACACATCTAACAGGCCTGGGTGACAAGATGAATCTCAGCCTCTATGTCAATATACATGTCCAGCAGGCTAACGTGATAACATGAATATTAGCCTCTATGCACGCGTACACATCTAATAGGTCTGGGTGACAAGATGAATCTCAGCCTCTATATCAATATGCACATCCAGCAGGCTAACGTGATAACATGAATATTAGCCTCTACGCACGCGTACACATCCAACGGGCCTGGGTGACAAAGTAGATCTGAGCCTTTACGTCAATATGCACATCCAGCAGGCTAACGTGATAACTTGAATATTAGCCTCTACGCCCGCGTACACCTCTAACAGGCATCGATGACAACATGAATCTCAGCCTCTACGCACATATGCACATCCAGCAGACCGCGGTGTTAACATGACTTTTAGATGTAAGCTCGACATGTATGACCTCAGCTCACATCTATCGGGCCGTGGTCATCATCGCACGCTGCATGTCACTCTTGCGTTTTCTTTACACATCTGGGTGACCATGGAGACCAAATGATAATCTTGACGCTCTATGTTCTATGGATAAAATAGCAGAAAGCGGACATTTACAACATCCTACATCCTACATCATATTAACATCCTACTTGGGAGCCCTGGGGAAAACTAGACACTGGACGCTAGATATCACTAGCACACCTTCACACCCTCTTTAAATCCTCTGAGCAGTGGGCATTTACTTTTCTCTTTGGCAGCAGCACTAACTTTAAGACTAATCTTTGCAAAATAACGTTTCTGAGTATATTTCTGTCTGACATGATCTAACAGCATGTGGGGGATATAATGAACGCCGGGTATAGAGGTGTGACAAACACATATATTATATGTTTTTAAGTTGTTATACTATAGATACTTCTACATTAATATTTATTTTCCTTTTAAGTTCATCCTTTTTTGTTATATACATATTTATTGAAACATGGTGGGTAACATGAATGAGATGAAGCGGCCTGAAAATCATCTAGTTAGGGCACGAATAAAGCAGTAGCCGTTAGGGAGATAATGTGATTTCAGTTTATACTTTCCTCCACATTCAGAGACCAGTTGTATTAAGTTATTTTTCCTATGACATTTAATGTAGCAGTGGACAACATCAATATGTTTTGTTTTTAAAATAGTTGGTCGATACATTTCATGATCAAAATGCTAAGGTTTATCAGAAAGAAAAAGGCTAAATTTCAATTCAACGCTAAATCCGCCAATCCGCTTTAGTGTATTCGACGTCTACGTTTCACCATAAACATGACTGTGACAGTTTCGCGTGCCTAAATTCTAAAATTATCGTGTTTACACCTTATGACTCATTAAACCTTATGAGCCATCCTTGTATACATAACATTGTGTATAAAACCTTTGTATGCACACTGATGTTATATAGTACACAACATGAAATAGAAGGCCACCCTTGTGGTTTATATACAACATGGGATAGAAGCTTACGGCCGCCCTTGTAGTTTACACACAACATGAAACAGAAGGCCACCCTTGTGGTTTATATACAACATGGGATAGAAGCTTAAGGCCGCCCTTGTAGTTTACACACAACATGAAATAGAAGGCCACCCTTGTGGGTCACACACAACATGAAATAGAAGGCCACCCTTGTTGGTCACACACAGCATGAAATAGAAGCCCATCCTTGTAGTTTATACACAACATGAAATAGAAGCCCACCCTTGTAGTTTATACACAACATGGGATAGAAGCTTAAGGCCGTCCTTGTAGGTAGTTTACACACAAAATGAAATAGAAGGCAACCCTTCTAGTTTACACATAACATGAGATGGAAGGCCACCCTTTGAATATCTATGTAACAAGGAATATGTCAAATCAGGGAATATTTTAACTCCCTGAAATTTTCAGAGAATATATCTAATATTTCATTCTCGCAGGGAGTATACATAATCCCTAACATAGTTTACACACAACATGAAACAGAAGGCCACCCTTGTTGGTTACACACAAAATGAAATAGAAGACCACCCTTCTAGTTTACACATAACATGAGATGGAAGGCCACCCTTTGAATATCTATGTTACAAGGAATATGTCAAATCAGGGAATATTTTAACTCCCTGAAATTTTCAGAGAATATATGTAATATTTCATTCTCGCAGGGAGTATACATAATCCCTAACATTTTCAGGTATTATACATATTCCCTGGTTTGACACCAAGCTTTTTAGAAATGTGTCAGCCCAAATAATATATATTCAAATATTGAGCTGATCTGGAAATATATGCTGGAATATCTATGAACTATGGGAAGATATGCATGAATATTCAGGAGAAATGGTAAGATATGAAATGATATTTAGTTGATGTGGGAAGATCTGTACTGACATTCAGGCGATATGAGAAGATACGCATGAAAATCAAGGAGTTGTGAGAAGATATGCATGAATATTCAGGCGGTGAGGCAAGATACATTCTATGCATGGATATTTCGGTGGTATTGGAGCAGAGAGTTGTACATCCATCATATATAATATATCAATGGTTGACAGAGTTCAGTTACACTACAAGTAAATGAAGTAGTATATGTATGAATCTTCTTTTTGGTGATGAAAAGGGGGTAAAGCTTCTGGACTGGATCCAGTAGACGTCCAAATCTTAAAAAGATTTCCCACAGCATATTGAATATTTATTTTAAAATTTGTCATTTTCAGTGGGCAAAATAGGGCCCTCGTCTAAATTCCTACTTTTTATAAACAAGACATAATCTCAAAGTTGCTACATTCATATTATCCATTGACATAATTAGGCTGTGCAGGGAGAAATAATCTCCAATCATACCAATTAAGTCTTAATTGGGGCTTTTGCGCTGTAGCTGTATGCCTTGGCTATGTCAAACTGTAGGTTATCTGAGACTAAACTAACTTAGATCAATTGGCGATCTGGTAAAGTTTAGTTTCTGAAAATACCTGAAATGGGCTGTGATCGTTTACATACAATGTTTGTTTATTATGATGACTATGCTTAGTTATCTATTGTTGTAAACCTCCCGATTGTTCTCCAATCGGGTTAAGTCTCACAAACGTTATAATGGGACTTTATATAATATCCCAGCGATTATGTATTTAGAACTTCTGGTGATTTTGTAACATGTGAATGTCCCTCACTAGAGATTTACTTTGCATTGGAGCACAGTGTAGACAAGGAAATGTGCAGAATGGTGTAACACCAAATGATAACTGTACTCGTGGATTGAACTTGAAACCTTCGCATCTGATAAACCACAATGCTTTTAAGAATCTCATCTTCTCAGTTCTTGGAAAGTTGTTTGTTACATAAAATTGTTGATAAATGTTGCTTCAGATTATGTTTTTCGGTTCAGAGGTTAGATAAAATACTTATCCTCATCCAAATCACATACATTTATCCTACACGTATATATGTGTACTTGTGCTTCTATTTAAACTATCTCCCTGTGAACATGTTTTTGGTTCAACTGGTTTTGTTTGTTACATTATTAGTTTTTGTTTTTTTATCTATCAACTCTTACTTGTTATTCTGTCCGTGTACATACATTTACAAGATGCTCAACTCGTCGCACAAAGTCATGAATAAAGATTCAATTTATACAACTTTTTGTTCCTGTATTTTTGTGAGATGAGGTGAGGTGAAATTGGGTTTAACAACCCGTCCAAGATTACTGCACTTATATAGCGACGTGCATGTACGTGTGTGTGTTTGTGTGGCTACGTGTACTAGTCAGGACTGATGCCGATTTATAGTGCTAGCTCAGTAGTAGTAGTAGTAGTAGTAGTAGTAGTAGTAGTAGTAGTAGTAGTAGTAGTAGCAGTAGTAGCAGTAGTAGTAACAGTAGTTGTAATAATAGTAGAAGTAGAATATAGGGCGATATGGTTCCATTTTGAGCGATGTTTGCACCCATCTCGTAATAAAAGTTAATTCAATCTTTAGAAAAACTGCATACGTACAGACACAGTTACTTCCCTTGTCTTGCTCTGCCCACATATGCCCACGAGTTTGAGTGTAGACCTCCACAAATTCTGTATCAAATTCTTGTGCTGTGCTGCATGCATCCGAGAGTCACCAGTTTACAGGCCTATATGATTGTATAGCTTGTCATTTAAATTCTAAATCAGCGTCGTTCGAATACGCTCAACATTTGTATTGAAAGTCTGTTTTAGTAAGCGGACATAAAGTCTAAATTCTGAAGAAACCGTAATAGTATACATTCACCCTCATTGATGAAGGTAAACAACAAACTGAATGACTTAACTCTCTGACTATTCTGTAAGAAAGCCACATCCCCTCGGTGAAATCCTCCAAGTGCTCTGCCCAGAGAAGGTCGGTGGTTGGATCCCCGGTCGCGACATACCAAAATACATGGGATGGGGTATCCATTCTATCCTCATTGGGCGAATACTATAAAACCGGTGTAATGAAGTATTTGGAACCCCCACACTATTTGGACCCGAACCCATAGTACTATGACCCCCCCGGTACTTCTTTGATAAAAAATACATAGCAATTGGACCTCCTATCCCAAAGTACTATGGCTCTTCCGTGGCTATTGGACTCCCTGACCTTAAATAATTGGACTCCTATAGTAATTATATCCCCATAGCATTTGGGCCCCCATAGTAATTTGACCCAACTGTATGTATTTGGACCCAAGCGATTTATACCAGCATAGTGGCTCAAACGCTCGGCACTGATCAAAGTTAATCCCAAGTTCGAATTCTGCCAAGGCGACGGAACTGTCAGTGGTAGGTATTCGTATTATATTATGCAATGGTAGGGTGCAATGTAATACTGTGATTTACAGCAGTGTCCTACTTCGTTCTCCTGATATAAGGATTTGAATGCAGGTGAATCTATTTGTGTCGATGCGATTTCCCCTTAGTTTCTGACCCGTCATTGCATATCCGAGGCAGCACATCACAGGCACCTGGTGTTTATCAACAAGTGATTTTTTTAAATTTTAAAACAAATAATTTTAAAAATTATAAAAAAGCCTCGACAATCTTAGCATTTGATTCTCCACGATATATAATGTAAACACCAGGTGCTTGTGCAGGGCATATACTACATGTATATAAATTATCTGTGCAAAGTTACCCATTCGCATGGTATTCATGTACAACAAGACCAATAGACCCACTGTTTCTTGATGACATCATCAACGATCATGTTATATTATTGTATCCGGCTGAATGTCAAAACACTCCATAATGAAAGCTCTCCAACTTTATTCCCTGCAAAAGCATCACCAAAGGATGTTTTTCGGATGCGAGGTGACAGAAACTGCCTTTTTTCGTTCATTAAGTTTTGCAATTTTTGGAAGCCAGAGTCTTCATGGTATTGTCCGAACTTCTGAACTTCAGTTTATGGAGTCCCACGCACATCTTTTGGATGATATATCCATCACTCCTATGGAAGAGTATATAAGCAGAATTTAAATGGATCTTGATGGTACTTGGGGAACATAGATTGAGATTATTTCCGCAGCTACAATGCTGAAGACCGTCAATCCATGTCTATAGCAGAGTAGGAATGAAGAGTGGAGAACCCACATTCGGATGGCTCGTATATTCTCCTCTGGGAAACCAAACAAAAATGACTGAAGAAGCCATATATCTTGAGAATATGAGCGACCATTTCCAGCCAGTCAAAAGCACCGATACTACTGGCATCCATACCCTGAAAAGAACACCGTTCTTCAGATTAGAAGAACATCTCCCAAGGAAGTTCTTAAAATATGTTCCCCGTGATGTTCTTGACTCCTGCTTAGTCGACAACTTCAAGGACGCGCAGTTACTTGAAACTCCTGGGCGGGATATCATTATCCAGAAATTCCAAGATACCTACTACGATGTTGGTGCTCTAAACGAGATTGCTGAATGTGCACGCCGGGATATGAATGCAAATCCTTTCAACATGCTGTGTGATCAGGTTTCATTTGAAGAAAACTTTAAATTAAAGTACTGAACCTTCTAGCTTAATAGCTGACTTCATTGTCAGAAATGTGTCGAAGGTTTGGACAACTAACTACAGATTTCAAATTGACCGAGTAGAGACGGTTTGTGTGTAACATATTTCTTTCATATAAATATGATATTCAATCACAAAAATGCAAACGGTGTTGTTGTTACATGGATGACCATTATTTCCGAGATTTGCACAGCTAAATACAGCCTTAAAAAATTGACCGATATGGCGATGGTTTGTGAGTTACATGTATCGTTCTCGAATGTAAATAAAAATATGCATTCAATAAAAAGAATGCAAACGGAGTTGTAGTTACTTGAATTGATATCCCAGGAACAATATTTACATTTCCCTGTCTTTAATTAAAACACTATTTGTGCAAATAGGGTCGCAAAGGGTTTGTCCTTTTAAGCACAGAGCTGATCTCATTTTAGTGTTCTAACAAGGTCAAAGGGTTATTTTATCTAGCACTCTTTTACATAAAAGTAGACAGTCTTTATTTTAACGAAATCGCTGTGATGCTAGGGAACAAATGGTATTAAGCATCTACAATAGGAGATCCGAACCCACGATTAATGAATTTAGGCAGTACCTTTTACAAACAGAGCCATCAATCCATCATCGACAATCGTGATAATCGTATCCGCCCTGGAACGCGGATACGAGGATGAGGGTCGGCGCGGATACGATAATATAACATGATCGTTGATGATGTCATCAAGAAACAGTGGGTCTATTGGTACATGAATATCAAGTGATAAAACATGCCATGCGACAGGGTAACTTTGCACAGATAATTTATATACATGTAGTATATGTCCTGCACTGCACCTGGTGTTTACATTATATATAGTGGAGAATTCAATGATAAGATTGTCGAGGCTTTTTCATAATTTTTAAAATTATTTGTTTTAAAAATTTAAAAAAATCTCTTGTTGATAAACACCAGGTGCCTATGATGTGCTGCCTCGGATATTCAATGACGGGCCAGAAAGTAAGGGAAATCACATCATCACAAATAGATTCACCTGCAATCAAGTCCTTATAACAGGAGAACGAAGTAGGACACTGCTGTAAATCACAGTATAACATTGCACCCTACCATTGCATAATATAATACGAATACCTACCACTGACAGAGTTCCGTCGCCTTGGCAGAATTCGAACTTGGGATTAACTTTGATCACTGCCGAGCGTTTTAGCCACTATGCTGGTATAAATCGCGCTGGGGTACAAATACAGTGGGGTCAAATTACTATGGGGGCCGAAATGCTATGGGGATATAATTACTATAGGAGTCCAATTATTTTAGGTCAGGGGGTCAAATAGCCACGGAAGAGCCATAGTACTTTGGGATGGGGGGTCCAATTGCTATGTATTTTTTATCAAAGAAGTAACGGGGGGGTTCAGGTCCAAATACTATGGGGTTCCAAATACTTCATTTCACCGGCACACAAAGTCCCCCCAACCCCAAGTCTCCAAATCTGTACTCTACTGAGAAAGTGTTATCTAAATATAACATTTGTTACAGTTGACCACTTTCTTAATGGCATTGTGTGTTCAAAGCTTTCGGACATGGGAGCCGTGCCATTTTTCTCTTGTTAGAGGGGAACACAAAATACATGATCTGGACTAACAGTTGTCGGACTTTTATTTTTGGTGGAAGCCTCGGTGGCTGGGTTAGCTCCATGACGACATGTGCTGGCGATTGGGTGCCTCAGTCAAAGTGTGGGTTCAAATCCCGGACGGGACTCAACCTAAAAAAGTACGAGAATCTGTACTTTACAAAGAAAGTGTTAACAACATTTGTTGTCAAGAAAGCACAATAAATGTATATTCGGCTTTGGATGTGTAATGATATCAAAGACATTTACGGATATTGATGACGACTTGGAGGAGCTTCGCAAATCAGGGATTGGTACACAAATGTGTGTGTGTGTGTGTGTGTGTGTGTGTGTGTGTGTGTGTGTGTGTGTGTGTGTGTGTGTGTGTGTGTGTGTGTGTGTGTGTGTGTCTGTGTCTGTGTCTGTGTGTGTCTGTGTGTGTCTGTGTGCAAATGTGGTCCTGTTGTATATTACATAAAACATTCATCTTGAGCGGGATGGTAGTTCGAGTTGGATAAGCATGTTAACTGTGATCTTCTTATGGTAGAGAATGCCGCGCATGAATGTATTAATGAGATTCCCAGGTACATAGGGCCTTTTCGGCACCAGGAATATCCACAGAGGAGACTTAAATGGGGATTGGGTGAACACAATGTGCTACCTGGTAGATTGTATGTCATCAAACCGGACAACGTCGGTCTTTGGCTGATTGTGGCTTAAAACACACTTATTCATTAACTTGTATCGGAAATTGATTGTTCATCTTAATTGTTATTGATGAACACGTAATATATTTTAAAGAAAAAATCAGTGACATAATAACTACAACTTTATGTGAGCGAGAGTAGCTCTATTGAAATGTGATGAATAAGTGTAACTGTTATAAAGTTGTAAGCTTCTTCACAACCGTGTTAGGGGTTAGTTGATAGATTTAACAACAAGTAAGGTCATCTTGAGCGGGACGGTAGATGGATTAGCATATGAACTATGATTCTCTTTAGGTAGAAAATGATGTT